TATTTTCTTCCTTTTTCCTGTTCTGTATCTCTCCCTAATTAGATTAGATTAGATTGACTTTATTAATCCCACAATGGGGAAATTCCTTAGAAACAGCAGCAATAATAAAAAAGACAGTATAACAGGATCCATAGGATCAGCAAAAATAACAATATAGGAACAATATAGACAATAAAAACAATAGAAAACAATTTCTAAAACTGTATAAATATATAAGTAAAAATATAAAGAAAAAAAAAACATGTACACAATGCTAGGTATATGGATGAACAATGATGTTCTGTATCACAAAACATCCATGTAAAGTGCTTTGGGACAACTCTGTTGTGAAAGGCGCTATATAAAAATAAATTGATTTGAATTGAAAGTAGTGAGAGTAATTGTACAACTTAAAAAGGAAATAATAGTGAGACTTTGGTGCATGTGTGTCTGCTCTCGCTTCGGAGTATGGGAATGTCATTTATTTCATGTTTATTGCCTTTGTATGTGTGCTTTTTCATGTGTGAATTAGTTTTTTTGTTGATTGTTAATGGCTTGGTGGTGCAGTGGTTAGCACTGTTGCCTTGCATCTCTGTGACCAGGGTTTGAGTCTCTGCCTGGGTTATGTGTGTAGAGTTTGCATGTTGTCATGGCAAAGACATGCTGAGGCAAATTGGAGTTACTAGATTACTCATAGCTGTAAATGGTTTGTGCATGTGCCCTGTGACAGACTGCTGCCCCCCCCCCCCCTGTCCTATGCTGTTCCCTACCTCATACCTGTAGCTTCTGGTATAGGCTCTGGACCCCCCCAGATGAATAAGCATTTTGGAAAATGGATGGATGGTTTTTATCATTAGGTAGGTAGGTACGTTTAAATGGGCAATCGTTTGGGCAGGGACGTGCACAGGGCAGGGCTGAGGTTGCCCGGGCAACTACCCGCCTGCCCTATTCGACTCAAGCTGCCCCTCCTAGAAAAAAATATTATATATATTTTTTCGCGCGAAGAGGAAAAAAGATGCGCATGTCATCTTCGTCAGGAAAATGCTTTTTAATTTGTCGCACTGGGCGGAGCTCTGTCACATACAGTAGCAACTGAACAGCTTCACAGCTTAGCGCAGCTCCCTGAGCGGTCCATTCCCCTGCAGTGCGCACCGACTGAACGGCGGCAAACTGCTCGTTTTTTAAAAACACCACCTGAAACACTTCATGTAAGGTAGAGAGAAATGCATATGGCAGTACGTTAACGTTACAGACTCATTCTGAGACTAGTTACTTCGCCATCAAGCTATTCACTTATATTCGATAAACTTATAGGCAAAGTGAGTGGATGTCGCTTCTGAAAGCTCAGCCTGTCTATTTCCCTTTTAGCTGCGTTGCATGCATCCACTGCACAAGAACCAGAGCCTGCATTTTGCAGCTGCGTTGCATGCGTCTACACTGACGTTGTAGAAATGATTAACAACCAACTATCATATTTTTTTTATGAAATGAAAAATGAACCAGGCAGTTACCAGATAGCATGTTAGGTTATCACATGCTGAATGTTTTGGTAGGAAAAGGACACGTCTGCTGATGGTTATTCCAGAACGTTTGTTTTAACAAGAAGCATAAATGATGGACGTAATCATTTTTGTTGTGATATGCATTACATTAATTGTTTTATTCAAAATGGTAAAATGGCTAAATGCTATCGCTGTTTTGGGTGTTTGCATGCTACACTAAGCTAGAATATCTTCCGAAAAGAGGGGGATTTTGGAGAGAGAGAGGCAGCTCAGGGAGGCAGCAAAGGGGAGCACATCCTTGCAGTTGGTTGCAAGCAAGCAAACGAGCCGGTGAGACAGAGACATTGTGATAGAAATGGCTACATTATTTGGTGTGAAATGGGGAAATAGGCCCATATTTCCAGACTTATTTCAGACTAATTGTAATTAGTAATTTTGCACTTTCAAAAGATCAAAGATCTTGCCTGTGCAGAACAAAAACAACAACAATATACTACTGCTTCTAGTGGGCCTATTATTATTATTATTGTTGTTGTTGTTGTTGTTGTTGTTGTTGTTGTGAGTGCAGCGTGCTGACTCACTAGCCTCGGACCTCGAAGTTCTTTTACACTCAATACATCTCAAAAAATAAATAAATAAAAGGTCTCGAATCCGATCTTTTCATGATGTTTGTATCTTTCCTATAAACTTAAAACTGTACAAAATAAAAGATGAATTTCTAATTGCTACAAATAAACATGACGTGACGTGACGGTCAAAAGACTGTGACGCTCCTAGATTCAAGGCTTCTGCTGTCTTATACGTCCTTACGCTTTTACACTAAACTCAGCAGCCAATCAACTTGCATCACGTGGCAACTACGTACTAAGGTTCCTAACTCTTACATTGTAACAAATACAAAGCTATAAAAACATTCAGATATCAAAAATATAACTCAAAATTCTATTAGAAATATTAATAAAATATTACATTCAAATAGTCAAATGTGCATATCTAGTCACAGTACAAAATGGCTCTAACAGTTGTTGTTTTTAACATTGGACAGATGATGAGCCAAGTACAACGGACAAAGAACCAGGACCAGACCAGACAGTACAGACTTGGAAATAGGGAAAGGAGAGACAACAGGGGAGGATGCTGAGATGAAGAGTGAGGCAGAATCCATGAATACAGAATTGGATTCTTTGCTGAGACTGAGTTATCCAACTCATCCAGCCCATGTACAGAGCAATAATCTTAAACACAATCAGGCATTTATCAAATTTTCACATTCAGTTGGGTCTTGCTGTGAGAACTATTGTGAAGTTCTCAAAAAATGCAGAAGGGCGCTCTTTTCAAGCTCACTGGTATGATGATCACCCCTGGCTGGAATATTCGCCACAGAATGATGGCATGTACTGCTTCAGCTGCAGGGTTTTCATGAATGAGGAAAGGTTTCAGAACAGGACAGGATGGGGGGATTAACATGTGGAGGCAGGTCAAAGTCAAAATAAAGGAACACCGCAGCAGTGAATCACATATGCTAAGCATGATCGGGTGGAATGCATTTAAGAAAAATACACTGCAGATGACTTGTGTGGTAGCTGATTCTCAGATGCAAGCAGCCAAAGAAAGAGAGAGGCAGGCAAATGGACATCATATTATTTCTGGCAAGACAAGGTTTGGCGTTTAGGGGTAATGATGAAAGCTGGTCAAGTTCAAACAAAGGAAATTTCCATGGATTTGGATTTGGCCAATATGACAGCGTACTCAGGCTTCATCTTGATGTAGTCAAGGAAAAACAAGCATCAAACCAAAAGTCCCAGGTGTCTCTCCTGTCCAATAGAACACAAAATGACCTCATAAAACGAATCATACAGCAGGAAGTGACAGAAGCATCACTATTCTCTATTTTGCTGGATGAGACGTCTGATGTGTCACATATTGAGCAGGTGTCTTCTGTTGTGACTATAAAGGAACGCTTCATCCAACTATGTGACGTGGTGTCAACAACGGGAGAGGCACTGGAGAATGTGGTGATGAAGTTACTTGAAGAAAATAACCTGAACATACAAGATATCTGTGGACAGGGATATGAGGGAGCCGCCAATATGAGTGGACATTACAATGGGCTGCAGTCGCGGATTCAGGGACAAAACATGCAGGCATTGTACGTGCATTACCATGCACATTGTTTAAATCTTGTTTTAGTGGAGAGTGCAAAGTCCAACAAACACTTCATCGAGAAACTTTACACCTTCATTGCCAACTCTCCAAAGCGCCATGCAGTATTTGTGGAGACACAAAGGGCCATCGATCCAGATCAATGCGTCCTTGAGCTACAGAGGCTCTCAGACACCCGGTGGAGCTGCAGGGAAGATGCCTTGAAGACGATTAGGAAGGTCATCCCTGCTGTCCTACAGTACCTGAGGAATCTGAGAGAGTGTGATCCACCCAATCTGGCTGCAGGCGATGCTAAAATGCTGTTGAGCAGCACAGATTTTGAATTTCTACTTTGTCTTGAAGTAGCAACACCAGTGTTCATGGAAACATCAATTGCCTCTAAAGCTCTCCAGCTGGATGACCTGGACTTGGCTGCCGCTGACTCTGTGTTAGATGGTGTCCTGAAGTGAGTAGTGGAGCCAAGGAGAGACGACCAATTCTCTCAAATCTATAATAAAGCCAGGAAAACAGCAGAGAATATCGACATTGACATACCAACAGAGATTCCAGGTAGACGAAGAAAAGTCCCTGCAAAACTGAAATACTCCTCCACACCAGCAACTGAAGATGATCAAGTCCAGATCCTGGAGGAGTATTACAGGGGAAGGATATATTGTACCTTTCTGGACAGACTGAGGCAGGAGCTTGAGAGGAGATCCTGTGGGGAAGGGTACACTCGGGACACTGTCACGTCACTGCATAGCCTCACTGACCCAGAACAGTGGAAGGATTTCGGCCAAGGTTTTGCTATAGCACTTTCACTATACGTTTTACGGTCTAAGAGACCAGCCTTCAGACAGAGCTGAGAGTGTTCCACGCGTCGAACAAGTCTCCCAAGCGGACTTTCAAGTCTATGCTTGAAGTATTCAAAGAATATATGATGCTCACATCATATTTCCCACACTCTTCAAGCTCATCAAAATATATGCCACTATACCTGCCTCAACTGCATGTAGAACTGCATGTAGAATGTTCCTTTTCAAAGCTGAAACTGATCAAAACAAGGCTCCGAAATCAGTGTGGTCAAGAGAAGCTGTCTGACCTCCTCTTGCTGGCCACAGAAAGGGAAATGGAAATTGACAAGGAAGAGGTCCTCAAGATTTTTATTGAAATGACCCCCAATAGGAGGATTCTGCTTTAAAGTAAATTTGGAGCAATGTATATTAATAAAGACTTAATATAGAAATTATATATTTTTCAGTTCTCCATACAGTCTGTGCGATTTTTTTTTTTCGGGGGAGAGAATGTCCTTTTTTCAGGTCAGAGCAATGGCCCCTTAAAATTCCTGTGCACGTGCCTGCATTTGGGGGTCTGGAACGGATTAAAATCATTTACATTATTTCTTATGAGGAAATTCGACTTGGACCTCGACCAATTTGCAACTCGACCAGCCTTCTGGAACGAATTAAGTTTGAGTTCCAAGTTACTACTGTATTCATTTCCACCTGACATTAACCATGTATTCCTTCACAATACTAAGCCGTAGAAAGGTCCTCAGTGAAACCCTTGCATTCCCACACCATAAAGACTCTAATCCCAATATTTATAAGATTATATTTGTAGTGCCTGCAATTTTTTATATTAGATGAGACAGAAAATTGAGAAATCTCAATAGGCGCAAGCAGGGGCGCTGCTAAGGATTTTGGGCCCCATGAAAAGAATCTTGACAGGGCCCCCAACACAATTTTATTGGGGGCTTCTCTGGGCCCCCTCTCAGTCATGGGCCCCGAGAATCGTCATCGTTTACCCCCCCTTTACAGCGCCCCTGCGCGCAAGTAATTTTTCCTTATAAAAAGGATGACATCAAGACTATAGGCAGGTTTGCATCCAAGAGATTTTATGCGCAAAAACACTTTAACGCTAAAAAGTGGGCTAAAATTTGTCGCAGATGTCTGCATTCCTTATTATTAATGCTGGTTGAAATTCCGCTAATGCTGCTCTGTGCAGTGACAATAAAGATTCTTTCTCTTCTATTTTCAGTATTAGAGGATTCGAATGAGCGACATTTATTCCTCTATCTAGCAAGTTGTAATTGTATTAAAATCAGATCAGAGACCAAACTGTGAGATGTTCAATTTAGCTATGTTTGGAATCAATTTTATAAAATTATATAACATATTGCTTTTTGTAATTTTTAGACCTTTAACCTACTAATACTAGTGCTTTGGATTGTCACTTTATGGCAGGGGTGGCCAATCTTATCCGCAAAGGGCGTGTGAGGACTCCTCAGCCAATCAGTCTTCTAATTAGTAATCTAATTAGGGAGTTGCAGTGAAAACCGCATACACACCGGCCCTTTGCGGATACGATTGGCCACCCCTGCTTTATGGAATCACTATTAACCTAAAACCTACAGTTTGATGACCCACTAATTTCTGTATTAATTTATACTGTAGGTAAAAAATTGTGGGGGAAACAGCTTTCAAAGAGAAAAATACCTTTCATACAAGACAGAAGACGCTCTCAACAGGCAACTACTGTTAGTTATCATGGCCCAAAGGATGGTAAGTTTATGATGTTAATGATGTTCAAACAAGATTAACTATATTAGCTGTGCTTTCAGAAGTAGCATCTCCGTTCTGAGCGCGCTCAACTTGGCCTGCCCTCGAGTGCCAGCATACCAAAATAGACAAAAATCCACAAATAAAATTCACAAATGTAAATGAAAAACATTTTTATAGCTATTTTTATAGATGACTGACAGTGTAGGATGTTCCTTCCAATATCTTACAATACTTACAATATCATCAGAAATACAGGAATCAAAGTGAGAGACCTTACTTTTGGTTTTCCCGTGGTCTTTGTATTTGGGTAACACGACAAAAATGTGTATTTTAACTTATTATATATCACATATTATTGATTTACTATAAAGAAAATGTATGTAAAGCATAAATGGAAAATACTTTCACACAACAATACAATTTTTTTTTAAGGTTTTTAATCATTATATTTCATGTGTAACATTAATGAGCAGGGACTAGTGACAAACTATTTTTTCATTGTTGTAGGTAGTTAATGTATTTTGAATTTGCAGGACATTATGAAGGACACTTTGCTTGAAACTATTACTACTATTATAAAGCTGCTTTTCATGCATATTTATCTGTATAATGTACTGGGTACAGAAATGGCACCAATTCAGCAGAATATTAAATACTTGGGATCAATGTTCCTGTTAACGACAGTCTGTGCTTTTCTCACGTGGACACTGGGAGGAGCCAAAACAGAACTACTTGAAGTTTGTTCATCAAATGTCACATAACGAAGGGCTTTGGGAAACACTGGCAAATCTCACTTGTTCGTTACCAATGTCATTTGCTATCTTGTTTGTTATTCGTTGACATTGTTCATCATCAGGAAACACACCCATAATCAATTAATCGCATGATTTCCTGGTAGTAATGAAAGGTTTCCCATGCATTGCATTGTCCCCTAAATAATCATAATTGAACTGAATTGCCTTGGAGCCAAAAATTCACACCCCTAGTGCTTCCTGTGCTTGTTTGCATGAGTAACTCATCCCTTTCGCAGGATGTTGTTAAGCCAAAACCCGGTGACCTAATTGAGATTTTTCGTGTGGGATACCAGCACTGGGCCATATACGTTGGAGATGGTTGCATCATCCACCTCGTCCCAGCAAGTGAGAGCACTGACCATGCTCCTGCATGCTGTTACATACTTCAGTTTACTCATTCTTCATTGTAGATGTCTTGTTATCCGTTTTATTTTGCTTTTTGTCATTCTTCTCACTCTCTCCCAGGCGAGGAAGCGTGTGGTGGCTCCTACAGCATGATGTCTGTTTTGCATGACAAGGCCATTGTGAAGATGGACAATCTGAGGCATGTGGTGGGGACCAGTAAGTTCAGGATCAACAACCTTCTGGATGATGTATATGAGCCCAGGAGTGTCGGAGAAATACTGAAGGATGCTTGGAGTTGGGTGGGTCAGGAGCTGCCATACTGTGTCTTCCGAGGCAACTGTGAGCATTTTGTGACAGAGCTGAGGTACGGCAAGCCGGAGTCCCGACAGGTGGGTGTCTTATTCAGTGCTTTCTGAGTCAATAACACTGCTCTGTGAGTGTGTGTGTGTGTGTGTGTTTGTGCTCTGAATGGCTTTTTTATAAGGTCAGTGTATAAGCTCAGTGATAATACAGTGAGCCATAGTTTTGCATCTGATATGATCAAACTTCTGCCAAATTTAATGAAACAATTCTTTGTGAGGCTGAATGCCTATTTTAAACAAGTCAAATTCAGGGCTGGCTACAGAGGATATGTTTGTGAACCTCTTTCTGATTCTGATATTTTAGGGATGTAAACTGTAGTTTATTAAATAGAAAATGTAACTACCCAAGACTAAAGTCATACTTTAGCTAGAAAAGATGCTGTTGGAACAACAACAATGTATTTCTCAGGTTTATTTGACACCTAAACACAGACAGGCTGAAAATAAAGGACTGGGGGGGGGCTAACGTAACATGGACACAAGGTTCAGGGCAGCAGGAACACTAACTACAAAGGCAGACAGACCTACAGCACCAACACTGAACTCCAAAGTGTCTGACATCTCCATCAAAAGCTACAATGATCAAACTGGGGAAGGTGGCATAAGTAGGCACCTATATACACAGATAACAAGGAGTCAAAGAAGAAGCAGGTGTAAGTGATTGACACATTAGGGCTGGAAACAATGAAGCATATTGGAGTG